AATTACAAAGGAATTAATCTATTATACACAACACTAAAATTAACAATCAAAGTGATAACAAATAAACTGAATGAAATAACACTAGCAAAAGAACGACAGGTCGGTTTTAGGTCGGGAAGATCATGCACCTCCGCGACGCAATATTTATAATGAGGCAAGTGCAGGAGAAATCATTAGAATACAACTAACCAGCATATCTATATTTCGTAGACCTTAAGAAGGCATTTGACGGGGTCAAATTAAAGGACGTTCTCCACTTATTTTACGCAAGAGATATACCTCTAGGAATAATCAAAGCGATCGAAAATATCTACATAAACAACACAATAAAAGTAAAAGTGGAGGAAGAACTAACCGACCCTTTTGAAGCTGGTAATGGGATAAGACAGGAAGATTCCCCGAGTCTTCAATTGTTTAATCTGATTATGGATTCCCAACGTCCGAAACGGATAGGGCAAAGGAAGAAGAAGATTATGGATAAAATAATAAATAAGATAAAGGTAACATAAAAGTAAGAACTTAAAATGGATACCAAATGGGAAAAAGCAACTTAAAATAATCTGCTATTCAGACGACGCAGTACTACTCTCGCAAAGTGAAAACGATCTACAACGTATGCTGCACCAATTTAATATAATTTAATATAACCGTCAAATAAATTACCATGTTAATTTCCCAAAAAAAGACAAAATGCATGGTTACAACAGCAAATTTACTAAGATGTAAATTGGAGCTGGAAAGTCAGATAATAGAACAAATGATGGAGTTTTAATATCTGGGCATGACATTATCTAGCTACAGAAAGCTCGAAACAGAAGTGGAAGATCAAGTGAATAGAGCAAACCGAGCCGCAGGTTGCCTGAATGAATCCATATGGAGAAATAAAAATATAAATATAAATAATAAAAAATAAAACATAAATAAAGAAAGAAATGAAAGGCCCAGAATTTATAAAACAGTCATCAGGCCAATAATGACATACGCGGCAGAAACACGACCTGACACAGAAAGGAAAAAATGGATGTTATAAACAGCAGAGATAAAAACACTTGAAAAATTGATGGCAAGATACTATGGGACAGAGCTAGAAGTACAGATATACGACGTAGTTATAAGGTGAAGAACGTAGTTATAAGCTGAATGAAAACAAATAGAGTAGTCTATACGGCAAGAGACGGTTCCCCAATAGGAAGACGATCAGTAGGAAGGCCACGAAAACGATGGAACGACAACTTACTGGAGGCACATTGCTAAACAGACAGAGTCATATCTACATAAAAAGAAGAAGAAGAGAATCGATGATTGATTTTCTGAGATGTAGTGAGCGGCTCTGAGATATTCATCTCACTTTTAACGTTAAAATTCTGGATTAAAAGTTTTATTGCTTGCCAGTATAGTTAAAACAATTCTAGTCGGTAGATTGCAAAGAATTAAAGAGGCAGACTGTAGATCTAGAGTCCGATTAAGTTGGCCACTCCTGGTCTATACATTTGGCCACCCCTGGATGTAAAAAATTGGACTTTAATCGTTGGTATCACGAATGAAATCGAGCCAATTGAAATGTAGTTGTATAGAAATATACCTACTCAAAATACCAGAAAAAAAAAAGAAGTTCTTAGAAGAATAGAACATTAACAAATTGTATTAAATAATATTAAAACACGTAAACTAGAATATCTTGGGGATATAATCAGAGGAACTAGATATGAGTGCATTCGACTAATTATTAACGGTGTGGCGGGTAGTTCTTTTAGACAGCATACTCAGTAAAACTCGGGTTTAATTAAAATAAAAATATATGTGATACAAATAAATATCAAAATAAAATTATATGCGAGATAATATGTACATAATTTAGAAGCCAATCCTGCGGCGATGACATCGACACATAATTCGATGAAAATTAATTAATACCTGCGAAAAATAAAATATAATTAATGTCATAAAATTGAAACAACAATTTTACGGTGTAAATACACGGTGAAGAGAAGGAAGGACAGGTTTGGGGTAGACGGATTTATCAACACTCAGTCAGGCAAGGAGCGGGAAGTGACTAATCAACACTTATCCGAGACAGGCCTCACATCAACAGTCTAAAACTGGTAAGGAGCTAAGGCCCGGTGGAGTTCTTAAGAGATCGGCATCCTAGCGGAACTCCATTCTCGTTTCTTTTCTTCTTAATGTTTATTTTGCAGGATAGGCTCGGGAAATTTTTATTTCGAAAAGGAATGAATATGTGAGTACCTGTTTAGGATCATTGGATGCTCTTCAGGCTGCAATTGAATGTGTTTTTGTAATGGACGAAAGCAAAACAGACCGAAAAACATAACTTGGGTGCCAGTGTTTTTGTTGTGAAGCATCTTGGAGGCTGTTGAGATGTAGGCACTATTCAAATCAGAGGCGAAAGGATTGTCTGGATGTGGTGTTTTTTCCAGAAAGAAGTGTGGGTGTTTTAAGCTAAGTGCGACAGAACCGTGTCTCTACTTACAGTTGTTCCTGTTGCCTTTTTACGTCTACACCCAACTTCGAAACTAGTGTATTGCACTAAAATTGTGTTATCGGATGTTTTCATTAACGGCCAGGGCTTGTCAGCTTTCGAGAGGCGTCTTGCCGTAGGTAGCCCAGTGTGAATATGTGTGTGTTAGCCTGACAGTGATGGACGTTACCATTTCGGTGATATTTTCGCTCCATCAGTCGCTTAGATAGCCGCATTCGACCCCAGACCCCTGTCAAGTAACGGGAAGGGTGTTAAGCTAGTGTGAGTGTTGTGTGTGTGTGTGTGAATGTGTTTGAGTGTGAATGTGTGCGAGTCTGAATCGGAAAAGGTGAAAACCGTGTTCTCTAGTGAACCTTGTTCCTGCAAGCCGTTTGTACGTCTGCGACTAACTTCAGAACTAGTATATTGTAATAAAATTCGTGTTATTGATCATTTGCGATAACGATCAGGCCTCGTCGGCGTTCGATAGACGGTTTCGGCACTTGTCGATTCAGGTGAGAAAATAGTTGCGGCTATTTTCTCAGGGACGAACAGTAGTAGACGGTATCATTGAGTAGTGAGATTAGGAAACCGCAAAAAACCAATCTCCCCATATCCGGGGTAAGGAAAAAGGATTGGGTTATAGAAAGGTTTGGTAAGCTAGCGGTGTAGCTTCAAGGATGTCAGGGTATTCACCCGAAAGTTCATCAATGCAAGCCTGCATTAGAACTGACGGAATGTGAAGTTTTTTTTATTTTGGGCTTCCGGGATCTTACGTGACCTAGATGAAAACAGGAACTTTTTAAGGTGTTTTGGGTGATAGATGGTGGGCCGTTAATTGTTCTAAGAGTAAAGTTTCTGTTGAGCGTTTTGATTCTCTCGATGATTGTGGCAACATTTGCGGTGTTGTTGATTTCACGGGGGGGAAGTACCAGCATACACTACGCAGAATTCTGAGCATCGCAGCGAGCAGTTTTTTCTATTGATTATTTCTAAGGAGGCAATATAAGTTGAACTTATACTCCAAAATGGGTCGAATTAATGTTTTATAATTTTGTATGAGAGTCTTTTAATGTTTTTTTTTTCAATAACTCATGTAAGTGGTATGAGAAGTTGGGCTGGGTTTCTGACCCTGTCTAAAGCCTTTAGATCAGGTTCCCAGTTGAGTGTCCTAGTAAATAGAGTGCCCACATGGGAAACTGTCGGTCTGATAACGAGCCTTTGTCCCATCAGATTCCGGGGAAATTGGTCATCGCCGTAGCGATTGATTTTTACAGATGTTGCAGGAACACAATTGTTTGTGTTTTTTCATTCTATCTTGTGGTGTAGGCTTTTTATATTGTTGTCGATTCTCCATCTTTACCGCGCATCGATAGAAGTGGAACTTGCGATGGGGGGGCGTATGTACAGAGCGGTGGCAAGCCAGCGATGCACATACTGCAACGATAAAATTAATGGAAAGAAAACCAGTGGTTGAACAAAAGACCAATTACTACACGTAGCCCAATACTGAGATCAATATAAGAATATTATAAGCATGGTAATCGTCGGCGTTCATTAGCAACATGGTACCCTAAGAAGAAGTGTTTGGAACCTACTTCAAGTATTAAAAAAATAGCTCAAATATAACTTACTAGCTAACTTTATATTTGATATTTGTTTTTCAGATAAATGTTATTTTTTTCTAAATGGTACTTTAAATCAACACAATTGCCGTTATTGGGCTGATGAGAATCCTAGAGCTTTTACGAAATACATACCCAACAGCCATTGAAATTAAACGTATAGGTAGGAATTTATGGGGATCGTGTTGTTGGGCTATTCTTTTTGCAACAAATTTTGAACGGAGAAGAATATCTAAAATTCTTAAAGGACACAATTGATCTTATTTTGACAGATATAATTGAAAATGACAACAGGTACACATAAGATGATTTGTTCTTCATCAAGACGATGCACCTCCTGATTATAGCATAAACGTAAAGCAATATCGTAATAAAAAGTTTTCTAGGCAATGAATTAGACGAAGAGGTTTTACTGAATAGCCAACAAGATGGTGCATTTAACTCCCCTGGACTTTTTTCTATAAGGTTATTTAAAAAGCAATATTTGTAATACCGTTCCTGCTTATGAAACCATTTCTGTTAATATGAAAAGGATTATAGATACCTAAATTCTCCAACGAAATACCTGTCTAATGATGTGCCACACATAATTGATTTCTTATTTAAAAGATGTCCACTTAAAATAAAAAGGTACCCCTTCTTAGTGGCCACCCTGTATATTTATTTGTTATCAATTAAATGTAAAGCATAATAATTGAAACATAAACCTATGCAATTTGCAGATTCTTGCCGTTTATTTTATACTATTATTTACATAATTTCGTTACAACTGAAATTTAATTAAATATTATTTATATAAAACTTTTGTTGATAATTGAAAATGTTATTAACATATTTAATAATTTTTTTTTAGAACTGATTGATCCACTCCGTCCTCATGATTGAACCAATAAATAAGAATGGACCTAATAAAATCTTATTACAACCGCTACCAGCCCTCTTGGTCCGACCAGTTCCCTACTACATCATTCTTCCCTCAAATAGATCCGGAAAAAATAGACGTACGCCAAGCAGTTACACATCGGCAAAAAGAAGTCGAAGAAATTTACGATATAAACACTTACGATAGTTTCGTATCCACCAACAGCGATTTTGTGGACCTGAGCTCGTTAACGGAAGAAGAAAAAGGCCATTATAGCAATTTTAACTTTTTCACATTGAAAAGAAGTGATTTTAACAACCAGAATGAAAAAAGAACTACCGTGGTACTCAATCAGGATAGGAAGAGTTGCAGAGGTACGTGACTAGTAGTGAAGGTGGTGTCAAACTTGATTAGAGTTTGTTTAGTAAGATTTATAGAATAGTTATAAGGCGCCAACTGTTCACCTCTCCTTCATTATTCAGATATCAAATTATTGTTTAAAGCCGTTGCTACAAGTTAGTACTTTAAGCTAACTTGCGTAGGAAAAACTATTGTAAAATAATTGTCATAAACGTAATTGAACCGCGACGATCAGAAATTTCGGATAATTCAAACATGACTAAAAACATAACAAAAAATGGATTGAAAGGGCAAAAATATATTAATCAGAATTAAGACTTATATTTATTTACAATGAAAATAAACATTTTAAGTAATTCATGGTACACTACAGTACTTCTTCTAGTGGACTCCATTACTGGAGATTTGCGATCACTTCATCAAAATGTTCTCTATTCTGCGCCACTCTTAGTAGTTGTTAAGCATTCATGCCCGTGCAAGGTCTGATATTGCGAAGTCATGGCATGACTCTTCTGCCTACTCCGCTTCGGCCCTCTATCTTCCATTCAATTATTGTTTGTAGCTGGTTATATTTGTCATTTCTCATTATGTGACCTAGGTACGAGATCTTTCTTTTCTTAATCGTTTTTCTAACTTTCTATTTATGGTGTTTAATACTGTTCGATTCGTAATGTGTTGTGTCCATGATATTCTAAGCATTGTGCCATAAAACCACAATTCAAGGGCTTCTAGCCCTCTCATAGTATTTAATTTTAATGTTCACACCTTAACTCCATACTGAAGGAGTGATCAAACACAGCATTTAATAACTCTAATTTGGATGTTTAAGCTTAGTTTTCGGTTATAGATAATTTGCTTCCATTTATTGTATATGTTCCTAGCCTGTTCCATTCGTGTTTTTATTTCTATATTATGATCCCACTTATCATTTAGTACTACTCATAAGTATCTGAATTTGTGAACTTGTTCTAATTGAGTGCTATTTAGTTTAATGCGACAATTTTCATCGGTTTTGCTAATCACCATTAGTTTTTTGAAGATTTATTGTCAGTCCCATTGCTTTACTTGTATTATTAACTCTGTCTAGTATATTTTGTAAGTCTTATATTTTTTCTACTATCAGAACGGTATCGTCTACATATCTGATATTGGCAATACATTTATCGTTTATTTTAAACCAATTTTGGCGCCGTCTAGTGCTTGTTGAAATATGCATTCAGAGTACAAGTAGTAAAAGAGCAACGGAGACATGACACAGCCTTGTCGGACACCTCTTTGTATACAGACGCTTTTAGTAGTGTGGTTGGAATCTTTTAAGGTTACTGCTTGGTTTAAATAAAGGTTTTGAATTATGCGGATATAATTTCTATCTAGCTTTACTTTCTGTAGTTCATTCAACAATTTTTCATGGTGGACTCTCTCAAAAACATTCTGGTAGTCGATGAAAAGATATTCTTTTTTTTTTTTTTTGGTGATCGATGCATTTTGGATGAGTGTTTAAGTCACAAACAGCGCCTCTCTTTCCCAAGGTCTTTCTAAATCCGAACTAAAACTCACTTATATCTATTTCACATTTTTTATAAATTTGAATATGTATGATCTTTATGAATATTTAAGTGACTCATTAAGCTAATGAGCCTAAATTCATCGCATTTGTGGACACAAGATTTATCTGGTATGGCTATAAATTCTGAGTCCTTTGGTATTACGCCACTTTCATATATGTTGTTAAAAGTTTTTCGGTAAATTTCTCCCATACTTGAATTTGTTCGCTTTTTTATAATTATTCTTGCTTTGTTGTCGGCTAGAGCGTTTATATTATGTTTCTTGTTATTATTGGAGGTTTCTTTTAATTTTTTTTTGTGAAAGTTGAATGTATCATTTTTATGGTCTAGGTTTTCTATTTAGTTATACATTTCATTTATCCACTTTTCTTTTGCTTTTTTGATTTTTCAACCTATGGTTCTTTGGATTGCTTTATACGATTTATTGCTTTGATGAAACGAAAATACTACAAAATATATAATAATTTGATGGGTATAGTTATAAAGTTAAAAAAATATATTTAATATAGCTCTGTGTTTTTTGTTGGCATTATTTAATGTAATGGTTTTCAACAAAAACCATTTTAATTTTCTGTAAGTAACCATAGACATAAACCTAACCCGTTTTTTTTTCTGTAGGTCGCCGAAAAATTATAGTTCGAGATCGTCCCACCTCACCTACAATAATGAAGAAAAGACGACTGGCAGCAAATGCTAGAGAGAGAAGAAGAATGAATGGCTTGAACGAAGCTTTCGATAGATTAAGAGAAGTCATACCTAGTCTAGATGCCGAGCACAAACTTAGTAAATTCGAAACGTTGCAAATGGCACAAACCTATATATCTGCTTTAAGAGAGTTACTTGAAAGAAATAACATAGATAGATAACAGTTATTTTCTATTTACGTTTCAGTCATAATAGTTTATATCATAATTATGTCGTATTTTACGTATGTACAATAATTTTTTGTTAATAAATTTATTAGTATTGCAATGATAGATTTTAATCTGAACACTGAAGAAATATCTAATATATTTACTTTTGTTTAATTTATCTAAATATGAAGAAACTTAACCAAATATTATTTTAAATATTTTGATTATCACAATATCAGTGATATATATTTTTTGAATACAAGTTACGTCCATGATACTATGAACTAAAGATAAACCCACGCGCACGCAATCAGTCTATCTCTTTTGCACGTGTGACGTCACTTGGCGACAAATATCACCAGAAATGTTCTGTTTTGCATGGAGTTTTGTCAGCTTTAGTATTGTTTTATCGTTTATCTAGTACATTGACAAATGAATGTGTGCACTTTTGATAAAATATATTTCAGAATATTAAATTAAAGATAAACGTTTATCACCAAGTGACGTCATGCGCATCGACGGACAAAATTCGATTGCGAAGTGGTTTTATCTTGGAAGTCATAGTATCATGAGTTACGTCTGCATATTTCAAAATGTATATGCATTTGCTTAATTCAAAAATATTTAAATGTTGGAATTGTTGCTTTTTATTTTATTTTAATTGTGAGAAAAGGAGACAATATAGCTTAATTTAAATGTTTTTTTAGACACAAACGTAACTATTTATTGTAAAATTAAATCACACAATTATAATAAACCAGTTTTATTCTTTACACGACAATATAACACAGGAACGAAATGTGGTGTTTAACGTACAAAGGAAACTGTTTTACATTCAACCAAAATAACAATGTCTGAACATATTAATTTTCTTTAACTTTAAGAAATTGAATTTTAATAATCAATTTACAACAACCGAACAAATGGATTTTCTTCTTCCTGATAATATTTTGCCGTGGGTGTCCTAGTGCTGTGCGGTGTCTACTCAACCAGGCGTTCACATAGGGTTCCACATTCCACTCGTTTATACTTGGTCCATTTTATGGACCAAGCTAAGTATAATATATAAACATAAGGATTGAAACATGTCTGGTTAAGAGTCCAGTTCACAAATCAGTCATTATCTGGTTCATGAGATTAAAACCTCGTTTACATTCTGACGAACTACATGGAATTAGTTTAGTGCAGTTCAAAAACGGGATGAGATCTTTTGGTACTCTTGAAGGTGAATTGACCTCGATATAATCTCGAAAGCAGTTTGTTATTTTGATTTTGTTGGGCTTAAACATTTTGCAGAGATTTTGAATTTCTTCTTCACCATATCGTACTGATTTGTCAGTTGGGTGCTGATCAGTTTGCAGTACTTTTAAATTAGATAGAAGAACATCATATTGTTGCTTGCAGTTTGAAGAGGCGTTTGATGTTGACTCATGAATGGATTTAATAGTAAACGTTCTTCTGGTTAAACTGTTTATTACACTTGTTATCAGTTTGTGGTTGATGGTCGCAATTTTTGGATTGTTTCGCTAATTTTGACGTCATATAGTTGCAGGATCGTAATCGGCTAAATGTGAAAAGGTTATTTTTTTTAAATGCATAGCAGTTTGTCATAATTCTGTTCTATTCTGTTCTATTTTATACATTCCAAGGAAAGTGCTTAATTAGCTTAGATCCGTTTATGGATTTATTATTATTTATTACAAACACACAGGCATATTGCAATGACAATTGCAATAGCAAGGCATCAAAGTAAACATTCCTGTGATAAAATAACATCGATTTAAATCAGTCATATTTGGATAAGTAATTTTCTGATAAGTTTCTGTGGCAGCCAATAGTTTAATTTTGTGAAGATTAAATAGTGGAAATAGTTTAAATAGTGAAGCAGTTGATTTTTGAGTTATTCTACCAGATTTGGTGTGCAAATGAAAGAAGGTTGTAAAGTTTAGTTAAAAAAAAAAACAATATAAATAGTTTAAATAGTGAAGCAGTTGATTTTTGAGTTAATCTACCAGTTCCGGTATCCAGATGAAATCGTGTTAATGGAGTTTAGTTAAAAAACAAGATACCGAATGTAAGTTTACCTTCTTTTTTATGAATAACAAAAATGAATATTATATTTCAAACAATCCATAATCCCATTCAGAATCTGATTCTTTAAAATCAATGATTACATTAGATATGTGGCTGGTATCAATTATATCTTACATTTCAACAAAATGCCGTGGTTCTAAAAAGAACCGTTTTAATACATATAAATATCCATAACGGTATTAGTTTAAGATATTTTCTCAATATCATTCCGGAATTCACAATCTGATTCGCGAACGACAGAAACTGATAATAAAGATAACTCAGCCTCTTTTTCTAATTGAAACTAATTTAATAATTTTAATATTAGTCTTTGTTCATTCTCGGTATATCTTGGAATATTTAAAATACTTTTATGACAATAAATACAAAATTTAATTTTCACTGTAGGTAAAATGTCTGAAAATACTAACCTGGAACGGCAATTATCATTTTATCAGTTGACATTGTGAAAGTACTGTCAATGTCATTATTAAGATCATCTGTGTCAAATTATATTTATATGCATAATTTATTGGATATCTATTTAGCGTATTCTAAACTCCAACCAATTATACGTTCGTAAGTAGAATTCGCTTTAATATGCGAATACCCGTGACCGATACCTAATTTTCTAAGTTCTATGTATAATAATCAGGGACTCACGTTTTTTTCTGTCACTTCTAGCTTAATGCGTTAGAGAGAATTCGAACAACTATGACGCACTGAAAGAAGGGTTTGGGACGGACTGTACATGGAACTGAGGGAGACCTATATCCAGCAGTGAATAGATCCGGGTTAAATGATGATGATAATGATTTAATAAAATCTGTTCTTTTTAGAACACAATTAGTGTGTTTTATTTCAAAAATGTCACGTAAGAATTTAAATAGTCGTTGTAAAGAGATGGTAACACGTTTTCAATAATTATGCAACCTATTTGATTTAAAATGGAGTCAGGATTTTTTTATACTTTGGCTACTATGTCAACTTCGATCTATGTCAATGATAATGACGTGCATCGGTCTGTAAATTAGATGAAGTATAACTGATTATATTTTTAAGCTCATAAACATCATAATCGCAATTTTATGAAAATAAATACTCCACTATTCAAGTATCCGCGACAATTCGATCTCTGTTATTTATTAGCCCGAGGAGTTTTCTTCTTCCTGGACACCTTCTTCGTTTAGTCAATCACTCCATTATAAGACGTTGAAGATTGTATGTCTTTTCTTAGTAAGTAAATTATCTCTAGTAATATACTGTCATTTCTTATGTGTTTTTATTATTTCTTTCTAAGACTTCCAGTTGTCTCACATTATTGACTTTTAGTGTCCACGTTTCGATTCCATACAGAAATATAGAATATATATATTTTTTTCTTACGGAAAATAACTTCTTACGAATCTGGCATTTTCAATACACGTTTTTATTTTTAACTTTTTGTTATTATCCATCAGAAATGGTACTGAGATGTACATAAAAAGTTTTTTGTTTATTGTATGCAAGTATCTCATGCTGGTAATTAATTTTCTCATCAATAATATTTGTTTTTTACTCAGAAAATAGTCACATCACGAGGTTATTACAGGTTATGCAATAAGTTTTTCATTATGTGGTATTGTGGTATGGTATGGAAAGTATGGCCTTGTTCCTTTCCTTGGATAATTAGTCTTTCCATATTTTCTGTATGCTGGATTATGAAATGTTACATTGTGGAACAAATTCATTATTTTGCAAACACTTTATCTTAGATAAAATCCTGAAATACGTTAATTTTCAAGTTAAAATGCGGATTTTTTAATAGTATGCGAAAATGACGTTATCAATTTTAACACGATGACGTAGCCGTTGTTTTTTTTTTTTAATGAAACTGTGGGTCTTGCAATGCCTCATTGGATAGGTCTTTTAATAATTTATTTATCAGTATCATACTTAACTGACTAATGCTTATAAGGGGAAAGCATTTGGTGCAAGATCTGGAGATCTTGCACCCAATGAACACTCTATTGGTCCTCGCCTACCAATCCACCTCCCTGAAAAATACTGGTATACCGACACTCGCGAATTTAACATGCATAATGCGTAGGTGCATCTCGTTGTAACCTGATACTATCATATCAAAGTTAGGATTATTGGCGTTCAGAAAGATATTAGTAAAGACTGGTATAACTAATGTTTACAGAAATTGCAGATAACGTTCCCCTGTAAAATTATCTTTACAAAAATAAAGATCAAGAATTGTATCATAAATTATTCCTGCCCATACATTGATTTGTTGATGCTGTTTAGTATGACCTTTAGTCATTCAGTGAGTCAGTGAATCAGTTATGCAAAATTTAGCCTCATCCGAAAACATATTATGTTTAATAAATCGTGAAATGAAGTTACTTAAATTCTGCAAAATACCACAAAACTGCATACGGCTACCAGGATCATTTTCGTTGAGTTTTTGATATAACAGATGGTACTTTTCCTCTTTCAGAGCACGTAATACCGACCTGCAAGGTAAAATTGAAGGACCCCAGGACGAAGAAGAATATCCTGGCTTGTTAACCTGAGAGCATGGTATAGAAAGACCTCAACACAACTATTTTGTATAGCAACCAACAAAGTCATCATAGCCAGAATTATCGCCAACGTTCGGAACAGACAGGCACCCTAAGAAGAAGAAGAATACCAACCGTTGAGATATGATTGTGTCCGCTGAAATGTGGCCTGAAGTACTATGAGTATTATCTTCAAAACATAATACAAAATCAAGTTTCAGGTTTTCTGATACCTTAGGACGTCCTGCATTGTGAATATTTTTAACATGACCTGTTTTCCAAATTGATTCCCAATGTTTTTACCGTTGATCTACTCATAGGTCGGCCTGGATACTTTGCAACAAAACGTATACCTGTTGCTGAGTTCTCGTTTTATCCCCTGATCATATA